CCAACAGGCTTTTGAACAGATGGCCGCACTGCATGCTTCGTATAGTCAGTTTAAAAATTATGCCCTTTACGCTAGCAGTGTGTATTGCATCGTAATGTCGCTTTCCATAAGCTAACTTTTACTGTCTCTCATTTCATCGTAACGCATCTTTGCATACTAATGTAGCCGGCACCCGAAATGGTGCTGCTTTTGATGGGTGCTGCATCGCCCTTGCTACTTGTGTGATTTTTCAGCTCCTCCATAAAGGACCCCTTCGTAAGTTCTTTCAGTCGTGCTTGGAGATGTGACAGGAATTAGGAAGACAGACAGTAATAGCTCAAATATTAGCACAATGCCAGCACCAACTGCTTGCTAAGAAGTCTGTCGATGGTGTTTTTTGCCGAGGGCTTCTCAATCGCAGGATGATGCAGCACCGATTCTCTGGCATGCCTCAGCATCACTTCATTTCTAAAATGAATTAACAAAACGTAAAAGGCTGTCTTTCCTAATGGCGATCCATGGAGTTAATAAGGCACTATGCGTACTACTAGCCATGTTTTTTGATTGATGATTTCTTGAAGTGAATAGTTTTACAGCGAATTAGGATGCTTGTCCTCTAGGCACTTGTTTGAAAGGTCATTTCCTGGTTTACTGCTTTTTGCCTGTATAATCAAGTGATTTAATGCTACAAGGAGACAAGGAAATTTAGTGGAAAAAGCGCCTTAGCTTTGAGAGTACCAGCTGTTCTTATACTATTTAAATTTAGCACTTGATTTGATACTTTCAGGCTTTCCGGGATTGTTCTTGCCGCCAGCGTTCCCACCGAAATGAATGCAAGGAACTTGGAAAAGCAAACAAAGATTTTTGCATTTGTTAGAGTAGAATCATTATTTTTGCTCAGAATACAAGATATTGCTGTGTTTAATAGGAAAAGGGAAATGTTTATGCTTCGGTCTGGAGATGCCATTTTCGTACTCTGTTCCACCAAAAATAGTGGTGAGTGAGTGTGCTGTATGCAATATCTTGTGTCTTGAAAACCAGTTGAATGGAATCTCTGTGTACAGGATTTTTTGAACTTGTGTATTGTTCGTTTAATTCGTCGTTGTTTGACAACTTTTCGGCCTTTTTTTTGCGTTGTGACTCAGGTTTTTGTCACATGCTTTCAAAGTTCCCCGAGGAAAGGTTGTACCGGTTCGCCAATCGTTGTATTCTGTCTATGGATACTGAACTGATTTTTTCAGAGAAGGAGGGCAAGAAGAAGGACGAGAAGAGAGGAGGGAGAAGGGTGGGGGCCGTTTTGCTGAGGCCTCGTCGTGTTTTGATTTACCGGGCTTATACTGTTACAGTTTTTTTAGTTCTAGAAGTTGTGGATTCGCTCCTTGGAGGCATTTCTTTTTTCGGCTCTCAGATTGACATTGTTTTCTTCTCTGTGTTATTTCC